TAGAGATAAACTGTAAACATCAAAAATGTTCAGCAAAGTAAGATCTACAAAAAAGTTTTATATGACCAAAATTGTCAATTGACCCCTTAAGGAGTTATTGCCCTTTAAGGACAATTTTACACAAGTTGGTTATGTTCTTTAACTTTAAAAATCTTCTCAAATAAATCTAGTATAAATTTTGTATTTTATTTCCTTGTACGTCAAGAAACATAGACACTATGGCTAAAATGGAACATATAGATAAAATGCATTTATTTGCTTTTGAAGAAAATATGACAGATACAATGAACATTTAAATTGTATTTTTAAGCCACTCATTAATATATTGAATATTGAAAAGCAAAAATAATCATAGACGAAAGATTTAAGCAAAAGAATAACAGGTGAGCGATTCAGGCCCTTGAGAGCCTCTTGTTTTTTTAAATATATAGAAAATTATAGATAGTTTGACGAGCTCATTTTTTCATTCAAGCTGCATTAGGTAAGTTAACTGCCTTTTGTTAAAGCTTGGAGGTTACAATAAACCATTAGATTTTATGGGCGCAACATGGTATTCCGAATTAAGAGTATAGCTAATCCTGATTGGTTGATATGTGCGGCCGTTATTTTTTGTTATTAGAGACTTCGTGGATTCTGCATTATACCAAAGGCCAAATAAATTATTTTCCTTAGCCCAAACGGAACTGAGATGTCTTTTAAACACTAGGATGAGACACGTATTTTTAAGTGCAAAATTGATAGGCAATTGGACCCAAAAATACTGTCCTAATAACTTTTCTTTAATTCTAGCAAGGTTTCTTTAAAAAAAAACACTTTCTAAAGTCTGTATCTCGAAAAAGGCTATCATTGTCGCCTATGGGGAAATTAATTGTTTGTTTCAATCTGGAAGAACAACATAATGGCATACTTTATAGAATTAATTAACTATGGCAGGGGCACCAAACCCGAGGTGTCTTACGTGTATACACAACCAGTTTACGGTTTTCTTTTGTATTTAATTTAATTTATGCAGACCTATCTGCATGCATACAGACGGGCCACGGGGTTATATTCAATATGTAGTTTTTATTTATTTTTCTCTACTGTAGATAAGTGACAATTTTATTTCCAAAAAAGTGATACAAAAATATTATCTACAAGTGTAGTTTTAATTTTAAAAACTGTTGCGTTTTAATGTGTATATACTATTGTAACTATGTATATTGTTTTTTGTGTATTATTTGTAAAAAATAATGATATGCATTGTATTAATAAGTTCATTTTGAACTCTTTTAATGGGAATAAAACATCCTCCTTTAAACGTTTTGTCGATTACCACTGTGCCTGAAGTGAAATAATTATAAATAGATATCAGAACGCGGACGTGATAGAAAGCCTATTTAGTACATTGACTAGATGGAACTCGGGAAGGAAATAAGATGAGTTAAAAGTTAAATATTGCAGTAGCTAGTTAGTTACGCCAGGATTTACGTATTATTTACGATCATCTTAACTTACGACGGCTTTGTGAAACGGCTGTAAAACCTACGATTTATTTACGATGGACGTACGATGAAACGTAGACTTACGAAGGCTTTGTGAAACGGTGGCAAGGTTTATAAACAAAAGATGACACTGTTCCCTTTACGAAATAAACACGTTTAGAATGATGTGAAAGTCGGAATATTGTCGATTAAAATTATTTGCTTGATTTTTTCAATCGACTAATGAATTTAGTCGATTTGGCGTTCACACGATCCGATTCCAGTTAAAAAGTCGAATAGAAATAGCGTACCTTTCGATTTCAAAACGACGTTTCGACTTGACATTCGACTTCAGATTTTAGTGTTCACACGGTACGATTTTAGTCGAAAGCAGGTGCATAGGTAAAAATCGAATGAAAATCGAATGGAAAATCGTATCGTGTGAATGCACCTTTAGACATATTTGTAATGTAATATGAAAACGGTGATCTTCCAAGTTTTATACACAACTCCGGACATATCAAAGATGAAAGCGGTGATCTACAAGTTGGGACAGAGTTGGGAGAAAGATGCTCTTTGGATACATCTTATTACTTAAAGTCAACCACAACTACCACTATTTCCTTCGTTTTCATATTTTACAAGTAAAGATATAGATATGCGTATCTTTCATTTCGTTTTAATGGATGGCTAATATGCGTGGTTCATGTAATAGTTCCTCATTTCATTATTATCCTTTTTTAATTACTCAAATTTTATTTTAAAATAAACAGAAATTGGGTATGTGCACAATGTGTTTCATTTACACAAGACTCCTCAGTGATTTACACAAGACTCTCCAGGGAGGCGTCAACTCATTAACACAAGACTCCTCAGGAAGGCGTCAACTAAGGTTACAACACCATATACTATCGTAGACTGTTCAGGCTCATTTAATTTTCATACTTCATAACCAAAAAATATGAGTTAACAAATTATAGTAATTTCATAAAGTTCACCAAAAATCACAGTTTGACGAACAATTTACAAAATCGAAACTGAACATTTCGATATACTATCTATTTTTGCTGAATCCCCATACTTCTGTGTATAAAAAAATGATATAAACCATCTTATTGAACAATTCTACTAAACATTCAATAAATATATTATGCATGCAACCTCTTTTAACCCCATACATTGCTTTTAATGCCTTCCGATTGCGTAACGAACATTTCTGGTACTGCTTAACTGTATACCAAGAACATAAATAAATTCATGAACTATCTCCTGTTTAAAGCTTTAAATCGGCTCTATGGTTCCTATTGAACATACCATCGTTTTGGTCTTATCAACATAAACCTTTAGCCTCAATGTATTACAGAACTCTCTAAAAGTCACTCATGAAGATAGAAAACATAAAATGTTTTGAACCTTTCACTTAATGTACTTGATAAATGTGAAAAACATAATTGTCTATTTTCTTGAAGTAGGTCACCGTACGGCCTTCAACGATAGGCAAAACCCATACAAAACGCATAGCAAGCTATAAAAGGCCCCGAAATGACAAATGTAAAACAACGACAACTAGAAAACTAACAGCCGGATTTATGTACAAAGTAATAAACAAAAAACAAATGATATATATCAACAAACACAAACCACTGAATTACTGGTTCATGACTTGAATGGGAAAGGCACATTCAGAATGTGGCGGGGTAAAAATTGCTTGTGGGCGCGTCAACCCTTCCCATACCTGGTGTAATAGCACAACACAAGAACAAACTATAAACATCAATTGAAAAGGGCTTAGCTTATCAAATCGATACAAAGAAAATAAAAATGAAAACAGTTATCAAAAACATAAAAGACACAAAGTACAGATGTGAGAGTACTCGAAGTTACTGAAAGCTAGTTCAAAGCTAAAACAACTAATTAAAAATCATGTATCTAAGACTTAAATATAAATCAGTACACATCCAACTTCCAATGGATTTAGTGTAAAGACGTCATTAACAGTCATTAAAAAAAACATGACCTTGTGCAAGGTCAACATATAGGTATCGACAGATTGTAAGACCGTGAATGTACATAAGTGTATAACAACTAGATGCTCTAAAGAGCCTGGGTCGCTCACCTAGGTCTATGTGCATAATCAACAATGGAATCTCTCCGACATTGTAGACAAGAATAGAACTAATGACAAAAATTCTTTTTTGTTGATCTTTTATTGCTGATCATTTGTCTGCTTAGTTTCTCTCTATCTTCTTTAATTTTTGCTCAAAACACAAAAGAGGTTAAAAAAATATCCTCATTTAAAGACAATCACTCCTATGAAGAGTGACAGTCTACTAACTATATCGGCAAAATTTGACTTGTTTGTGGAAATTGCCTTGCTGATCATTTTTGTTATATAAAGTTTCTATTTATATATTATAATTTTTATCATATAAGGCAAAACGCAAAAAAGATGGTAAAAATCGTCATTAAAGGGCAATAACTCCAATAAGGAGTCGTCGGAAAATTTCCTCCATATTGTCTAAAATGTAGATCTTGTCTTGCTGATCACTTTTGCTTATTTAAGTTTCTATCTGTCTATTAATATTTTTAAGATATAAGGCAAAACGCAAAAAATTGGTAAAAATCGTCATCAAAGGGCAATAACTCTAATTAGGAATCGACAGACGATTTCGACAATGCATACGTATTTTGTAGATCTTGTCTTGCTAATCATTTATGCAACTTAAAGTTTCTCTCTATCTGTTATAGTTTTCAAGATAAAGGGCAAAAATGAAAAGAAAAAAAACCTGTAAAATTTGTCATTTAAGGGCAATAACTCCTATAAGAAGTCGCCTGACAGTTTCGACGCCAATGAACAATTGGTAGAGCTCAACATTCTGAACATTTTTGTCCCTTCTCTATTAATAACGGTTTTCAAAATAATAGACAAAACTTGCATTTTACCCGTATGTTCTATTTTAAGCCATGTCGGCCATCTTGGTTGGCAAGCGGGGTCATCGGACACAATTTTGAAACTATATACCCTAATAATGGTTGTGGCCAAGTTTGGTTAAATTTGCTCCAGTAGTTTCAGAGGAGAAGATTTTTGTAAAAGTAAACGGACGATGACGGACGACGGACGCCAAGTGATGAGAAAAGTTCACTTGGCCCTTTGGGCCAGGTGAGCGTAAAATATTTAGTTGGGTTTTAATTTATTGATAACAAAATCAATATTTATACCGATAAAACAATTTTAAAAGATCTAATAACAGTGTGGAATTGGTTTCCTTTTAGAAATTTTTTATCTAAAAGATCGACAAGTGTACCTGGATCTTATCTAAATTCACGGGCTCGGTAAACAACATCGCTGTAAAAATTAGGATGTGCTATCCCGTTTGTAATAAGTTTTCTACAGGTACAGGCAAACTAGATCTCTGTATCTATGAAAGAATTTAGTAAAGATTTTAAGTAATTTGTGGTAACGAAATCCTTGACTTAATAATTTACCAGTAAGACATAGATTACGTTCGTTGAAATCATTGTGTATATTTATTTCAGATGCAGAGCCTACCTGTGAACGTACAGTATGTGAATGTGAAATAAACCTAGCTCATTGTCTGTCTAGGGCACCGTATCATAATACATATTACCACATGGACCGTACCAAGTGTAATTAAAGACAACCATACATAGTGTCATTACAGTACAATACCTTGTGTAACTAAAGACCGAATGAATCATTACTTGTGTATACATAACAAAAGAACACTTTCGTTTGCGTTACATCTTATCCAGTTGCATTTCCAAGTAACAAATCTGTCTGTTTTAGAAAAGTACTACTTTTACTTTTGTTTTTAAATTTATATTTCAGTCAGGCGGACAAATGTTTATATTTTATTTGTGCCGGTAGGGAAAAATCATTAGAAGATCGGAATAAAAAGTATAGAAGATCTAAAATATATAAATTGGAATAAACTTTCCAATAGAAAAAAATGTTAGCACAAATAAACCCATCTTAGACCAATTATGTCTGTCTGGGTTGCCAAACGAGTCTGATGGTGTTGCATTCTGTTGCTTTGTCTATTTGTTTTACTAGTATTAAAAAATTGAACATTAAAAAGGTATATTTCTACTATATTTCTTGATGTAGCAATCTTCTCTGATATTGAGTTGTGTAGTAAGCAATTTTCTTTAGAACACCAATATGATGCCAATGTCGGTTTGACATGAAAGTACAAATAGTCCGAAAAAATAGATTTACTAGAAAATGATCAACTAGTTTGCCTTCTGCAGAAAATTTAATATGGCTTAGTCCATACTTTATCTCTATGTATTAACTGAATACAAATTAGTTTGTCCTGAGTTATTTAAGTTCCAATACAACTGGTTTCCATACGACTGTTTACCAGGCATTCGTCCTTTATCTAGACCACTATTAGGACCAACAGTTGGTTTCGACAACGCCTTTACTAAGCTAAGAGCACACAACATACAACACGCAGCAAATCCAGCATAAATTCCCTCATTTGCACCAGCCGACAAACGTATTGATTCATAAATAAAGGAAACGATGTCATAATCAGCTTTTATCAAGGTCAGAAATGAATGTGTTTGATTATCTAAGTATTGCATGCTTCTTTTTTTGTAATTTTATTGGGGTGTACAAGCGTTAACCGATGCATATTTTGTATGAAGCGCTGAAGCTACTGAAAAGCTACTAAAAATTTGTGCACGATCAACGCTTTTTTCAACCATATAAGTTATAAAAGAAGCTTTCAATTAATATAACTACATTAATATGCTAGTGCTTTGTTGTGACGTTGTCATGGGAAGCACGTGCAGTCATGAATGTTGCATTTTATTGATAAATGAAATATAATTTTGGAATGTCTCGTGATTGTTGTCAGCCAATCAAAAGTACGGACTCTTGTGAACCATACATGTAATGGAATTATATTCCAATGAAATCTAACATGATGCTAAAATCAGTCGATGAAATGAAATAGGGAATGGAAACGGGGAATGTGTCAAAGAGACAAAAACCCGACCAAAGAGCAGAAAACAGCCATGGGCCACGAAAATGCTTAAGTAAATGGTCTTTTATTGCCACCTATTCCAGATAAATTGAAAAAAACAACTCATCGCTGTTAGAATACCATTTATGAAAATTATACAGCTACCAAAGGTAAATCAGCGAGGATTTATTGGACCATGTGTTTCTATTCCAACAGACATTAAGAAGACCACCAATGTTCTTCATACATGTGATAATGAAGCTGTTAATAAAAGAGGAAAATGGAATATAGAGGCTAAAGTCAGTATGATTTTGTTAGAAGCAAAAACATATGAAAAGGTTTGGAATATTTACAGTAAAAAACCATACAACTATGATAAATTATTCAATAGAAATGGATAGAACATATTCCTTCAGATTTTCCAGATTTCGTTGTCAAAGAGACATAAGTTACTGAAATGTTAGCACAGGAACAAGATAAAGATACTTCTCACAAGTAAGAAGAGCAGTCATTAAAAGACTTACGCTTACCTTCAGACACATAACTCCAATCTCTGGATTTGGGACTGGAAATTTTAGACCAGCATTTTGATAAAAAAAAATATGTTGCTTCAGGAGAAGGAAATACACCTAAGAGTATGTTGCCCGAAAAAAGCAACGAAGCAATGTCATTCTCTGTTCAATTTCATGAAGGATCTGCTATGAACTTTAGCAGGTTATATCAAAAATTTCAATAGCATTGCCCAAAAGGAAACATCATACCAGCAAGTATGTCAACGGTTAAAAACCAGCTGACCAGGGATATTTGGCAAACCATTGGAACTTTTGGTCCTCAATGCTATCAAAACTTCGCTCTTTTTAATTTTTTTTTGGTCTATTTTGATTTCGGCGTCTGACGTACAAATGGTGAGCCTGGTATCTCTGATGAGTTTATTTATGACACCAATCAGAGGTACTGTATTGTCACCTCTATAAAGGCAACGCTACGTAAGTTAATGCATAGTATACGCCAACTAGGAATTCCTACTTGGATTGCAACTTTCTCTGATGCTGCCTTAGGATGAACAGAAACACTTCAAGTAATTTATATTGTGGCATAGATCAAATTTATTCGTTCAGTGTATGTTTACTTGTTTTTGTTTATATGTCTTTTTGATCGAGTTAAGCCATTTCAATTGATATTTTATAGTGTGATGTTTTTATGTTGTAATGTTACACTACTGTTTCAGATTAGGATGAAGGTTGGTACCTGTTAAAACGTTTAAACCCGCTGCATTTTTATGCACCTGTCCTAAGTCAGGAGCCTGTTGATCAGTGGTTGTCGTTTGTTGATGTTGTGCATAAGTGTTTCTAGTTTCTCGTTTTAAATAGATTAGACCGTTGGTTTTCCTGTTTGAATAGTTTTACACTAGTCATTTTAGGGCCCTTTATAGCTTGCTGTTCGGTGTGAGCCAAGGCTCTGTGTTGAAGGTCGTACTTTGACCTGTAATTGTTTACTCTTTACACATTGTGACTTGGATGGAGAGTTATCTCATTGGTACTCATACGACATCTTCTTATTTCTTCTAATGGAACAACGAAAAACTACGTAGTCATTGGAAGATCTTGACTGGTCTGACAAATCAAAAGTATTCTAGAACAATCCGTAATGAGTGCTGTTGTAACCGATTACAGATTTAACACATTCCTTTAAGAAATTATGGTCAAAAGAAATGTTATTGGTTATGTTAAGGACCATTTCCTCGCATTGAGTTTCAACAACGCGGCTCTCCACATGCCCATTGTCTTTTTTGGATTAAAGATGCACCATTACTTGACACACATGACGACAAAACAGTGTAAGATTTTGAGGACAGATACTTTACCTGCGATCTACCTGGTAATACTGTTTATCCCGAATTACATGAAATAGTTAGCAGTGTACTGCAGCACAGCAAGAATCACTCCAAATCATTTGCCAAAAAAGGAACTAAATGCAGGTTTGATTTCCAACGATCACCTTCAGAAAACAAATTGGATCTCCAGTACTTAACTGATGCTTATGCATGTGCTATGCACACCATATCCTATATTTCTAAAGCAGAAAGAGAAACGAGAGTAGTCGGGAAATGTCAGATAAGAATCAGCAGAAGGTAATTGTGATGCTGATGATGCCATGAAGAAAATAGGAGGGACATACTTCCGCCAGCGGGAAGTAAGAGCAAGAGGTTACACGTAGGGCATGTGGTCTTCATCTGAAAGAGTCACTAAGAAAGGTTCAGTTCCTTCCTGTAGGTAATGATCAAGTCAAACTGAGCTGACCACTTTTTATTATAAAAAGAAAGACCAATCAGTAAGATGACAGTATACGCAGGAATTCGTCGTGTGAAAGATACAAGGCTTAGTCCAGTCAGTTTACAGTTTGATATTATCTTTTATGCATCGTTTTCATCTGAGTTCTGTGTTTTGTCACCTTGACAAGAGAGGCGAGGATACCAAAGGGACAATCAAACTCATAAGTCGAAAATAAAAGGACAACGCCATAGCTAGAAAGAGAAAGACAAAGACAAACAGTACACAAAACACAACAGAAAACCAAGACTGAGCAACACGAACAACTTCTACACAAATGAACACCCATCATAATTTGTATACAATCTGCAAAATGATGTTGAATACTTTTACTAAAGTACCATAACAAAAATACCGAACTCCAAGGGAAATTCAAAACGGAAAGTCCTTTATAAAATGGCAAAAAAAAAAGCTCAATGGAAAACAACTGTCATATTCCTGACTTGGTATAGGCATTTCCTTATGTAGAAAATGGTTTTATAGCTAGCTAAACCTCTCACTTGTATGACAGTCGTAAAGAATTTCACTATATTGACAACAATGTGAGAGCAAAACAAACAGACATAAAAGGTAAAAATGTCAAAAATTGGGGTACATCAGTCAACATTAATATAATCTTCATCACTATAAAAACAAATAACTACAAAAAAACATTCTCGAACAGAGTCAGCCGTTGTAGCATATACAAGATTTTCGAAGAATAAAAACCTGAGTTATATTATAACTCAACTCTACAGCTGTTTTACCTCATATGATGGACGACCAGTTAAAACCACTCAAATTAAAAACCTTAAAGAAATGTATTTGACATGAGCAGTAGTTTAAAATGTTTTAAAGCAGCCACAAAAAGAAAAGACGATTGTAAAATTAAACAGACAAAACATTCAACAATTATACCACCTAAATACAGAACAGAAAAGATTATTTTATCAGATAAGACAGTGGTGTCTAGGTCCGGAAAATGGCAAAAATATAGACCTTTTCAAAATTTTCATCAATGAGGGTGATTGTAAAGGAAAGAGTCATATCTCCAGATCCTCGTGTAAGCTTTGCTTCATACTTTAACTTGAAAAAATAGGGGATCTTTGTTATAAACTTTTAAGCTAAATTTGTATGGGGTTGTGTAAGAGAATTAAAGATATTTTTAAGTGGAAAAAGACACACACAATCAGACATTATGTATACACGCATAATGTTAAGAGGTAATCTATATAAAATAAGGATGTAAGCATTGTTATATATATCTTTATTCTCAATAAATCATCATTTTGACGAGGTAAAGAGAAATGTAAAACTTTGAGGTTATTTATTTCGTTAATACTTTTCACCAAGACTGTTGCAGAATCTTGAGTTTTCTTGAAATAAGTACATCCATCAAAGTTTGGATTTTCTTTGTCTTGGTAAATAACATTTTTTTATCATCATTATCAATATTTATATGATGTCTCTCTGCGATATAGCAATTTGAGCTGATGAGGTGTTTAACAGCCATGGCCATTAATCAATTATTTAATTATGTAATGTACATACATGTGTGCATTCATCATTTTGTAATAACGGTGAACTTGTCGTTTTAGGAAACATAATGTTGCACTAATTCGACAGACACGGGAATTAAAAATATAGAGCCTTCACGGCATATAAAAAAAAAATTATACTAAAATTGAGAATGGAAATGGGAATGTGTCAAAGAGACAACAACCCGACTATAGAGCAGACAACAGCCGAAGGCCACCAATGGGTCTTCAATGCAGCGAGGAACTCCCGCACCCGAAGGCGTCCTTCAGCTGGC